TTCCCGATTTCCTAGAACCTGACGTGGTGGTAAGAAGGCAGGAAGCTTTGGCAGCAGCTCGGCTCAGGATGCAAGAGGAGTTGAATGCACAAGCAGAAAGATACAAAGAAAAACAAAGACAGGTAACTCTTTAACTCATCAATTTGTCGTCGAGTACTTTGCTGCTGTTGTAGAAAGGTTTATTCCATGCTAGGTACCAGAACAGGAGAGTCGCTCTCTCTGCTGGAATGTGAGTGGTGGGATTTTTCCCTCTCCTTTATCTGGCCCACTTTTGATACGGTTTGATCCACGGAGCAGTAACTAACGGGCAGTAGGTATCGCGATGGACCTCCAGTGATGCAAGCACATACTCATATTCTGTGCTGACGTGGCATCTTGATGCTCTTTGTTGATTAGAATGATTGATACGTGTAGTATTCTGCCCCTTCCTGAAGTAATTAATCTCTGTGGCACTTGCTTCTCCGCAAGTAATTGTGTGCGTGGGACACTGTGGGCCTGATCTTTTTTTTTTTTACAGGTAAATCTGTACCTACAGAAACTTAATTATATGTGCAGTGGGTGGCTGGAGGGGATTTACTGGCGTTTAGACTAACTGTACTACCGCATACATGTATTTTCTGTTCTTAATGGCAAATACTAGTTCTTAGAAATGTAGCTTAGCATTGCTGTGATTTAATGGTTTGAACTCCAGCTCGAGCTAAAGAGAAATAGCATGTTGCTATGTGGGCCAGTGTAGAAAAGTGGATGTGATCAGCATAACAATAATATTGCTCGTTAATCCCAGCTCCTCTTCTGTTTTTACTTTTGCAGTCAGCTACATTCAGCCCTCAGTTTATAGCTGATGCTTTAAGAAATATTGGCAATTAAAAATGAATGAAATGTCATGTTGTGGAAGAAAATAGCCACTACGTAGAAAATCTGGGTCTAGTGAGCTTGGACCTGGGGAGCTTTGCTTTCTTTGACTGGACGGAGTAGTGACCTCCTTCCCTTTCTATTTGTTGAGAAGGCAGCGGTCTGTCTTAACTATTAATTTATTTGGTTTTGTGGATAAATTGCTTTAGAAGAGAGCTGGGAGAATTGTTGATAATGTATATTGGGATGTAAATATGTAGCTGGCTGTCTTGTTCATTTGAAAAACACACTTTCTTCTGTAGAACCCTACATTGTGCATTAAATTACTATCATATGCAATATTTGTTACTCAGTACTTTTTATAAACTCAGGATTTAAGCTTGCCACTTGGTTCTGTTTTACTTTCAAAATGTTTTAAAGCATCAAGTGGTCAAAAGAAGCTGCAGATACAACCTGTATATATGGAGGAACGGTGGTTTTTCTGTGGTTGGGAAGATGTGGGTGTTTAAAAAAATAAATGCTTCCATAAGCTCGGAGATACTGTGTCAGATAAAGATAGATCTCTTGTTTTTTTGATGAGTCTGTTGTAGCTGTTTCTGTAGCACTGGCGATTCTACTAGTTCTGAAATCTTAGTCTTGCATATCCTGGATCTGTTCCTTAGCTTGAAGAAGAGAAGCGAAGGCAGAAGATAGCTATGTGGGAAAGTATGCAAGAAGGAAAAAGCTATAAAGGAAACCTGAAACTGAATCAGGTAACAACTGTGTTGTTCATCAGGTCACAATTATGTTTATGTGATTAGATTTAGCTGAAATTCACGTTGGTTAATTTCTGAGTCACGTTTGCTTTTGTGAACAGCAAGAAGTAGAATCTGGTGCCTCCACCTCATCAGCAGTCCCGAAATCTAAACCAAACAAAAAGCCCTTGCGAGGAGGTGGTAAGTATGCAATCCTTAAGATATTCTGAGCATTTATCCAGCTGTGTTCATAGTCATTGTACATATTTTTTCTGTTCTTCAAGGAGGAAACAAAAAGTGCCTCACAAATGAGCTCTTTATCTCGAATCGGTGCGGTCTGCTTTGCACTTTGTGCAAAGCCTAGCAGGACGTTTCTGTGGTGCTTTTCCCTGGGAAAGCAGTGTTTCGGTTTTCTTGTAAATGCTTTTGCCACGTTTACTGAGACTTTTGTCACTCAAAATTATAGATTCTTACAATATTTCTGGGATCCCTCCCCCATTATTGTAAAAGTCCAATATTTTAACATCTGGTCTGTCTTTCAATCACCTGTAGCACTAACTAAATGCGGGAAGAGGATATTTTACTTTGTATTATGTATATTCAGGAAGATGAAAGACTTCATTAAGCAAAATGGGACCTTATTTATCAGATATTACAATAATGACCTATTGAATATATAAATCCTGCAGATGTATAAACTCTTATCAACTCTTGCAAACCGCCAGAGGGTCTCATCGTATGGCCTTACGTAGCCCGCGTTAGGATCAGTGCTGTAGGTGGGCCATGCAGCTAGTCTCCTTTCTCTCCTCATGGCCAAACAGCCTGTGCCATACCTGCAAGTGCTAATTTGGGTTTAATATTTTAATTACAATTTTCCATAGTGGAGGGGACCATCTAGACAGCGTCAGTCGTATCAGACTAAAAGGGAAACCCACTTAGGGTGCAGCACTAAGTCAGTCACTTGATTAAATGTATGAAACCTGAAGATTCTTGATTAAACATATTAAACCTCAGTAATAGTTCAGTGCTGAACGTTCTGCTTTGAATATTTTTACTAATAGCTTTTGACAACATCTGAAGGAACTGACCAATTGATTCATCTTATGTTGTTTAATATGAGTGCAGGCTAATGTCTGATACTGTCAAATATCCTTTATAGCTCTTGCACAGAATATTCGCCACTATGGGGGATGAGGAATGCATGGGTAATAGCTGTGCTAAGAACCAGGATCAGGGCAGCTGGGCCGAGGCACCCTTCCAGCTGCTACCTGTCCTAGTTTCATCCTAAGCAAAATCTTTGCTTAAGTAACAGATGATAGAATTGGAGGTCTCTGATCTTCTCATGAGGTAGATCAGCACGAAGTGAAAGAACCATCTGCACTGTTCAGCTGCTGAATTAAGCTAGAAAGTCGAACTTGGCTAGTATGAGGAAAAACAAACTTCAAAGATGGAGGTGATGCTTGAAGTTTCAGTGGAACAGGTTGCTTTGAAACCTGCTCGGTTAGCAAGGCTGCTAGGTTTTTGGTTTTCTCTTCTTTTTGCCTCATACAGAACAAATTGAGGCCATCTGTCAAGTTGTGTCTTTCCAAGTACATACTCGTAAAGTGAAGTTGCCTATCGTTACTGCATTAGGAGGTTCAACTAAAGTATCTGTTTGCCTTATTGCGTATACTTGACTTTTCAAATTCTTTTTGAAAAATCTTACAGTAGTAATGAGTGGATCCACTTTTTGACCTTTGGAGTATTCCTTACAGGACTGGAATAAAAGATTGTTAGTTTAAGTCCCTAACTATTAGGGCTCTTGGAGAACAGATACGCTCTGTTTACTGTAAGTATTACTGTTGTAACAAGAGTTACTATCGTAATGCAGAGCAGCATTAAAGCTTTAGTGCAGACTTAGAGAAATTAAACGGTAATCAATTTCAATTTAATTTAATCCCAATTGATCAAATTAAAACACGAGTGTTTTGCAATGGCTTTTACTGTTAGCACTACAAAAATAAACTCTCTGAAGTCTGGATATTTTCTCTGCTTTCATTTTCCTTAAAACGCTGCCTATGTAGCAAGTTAAACAAGGTGCAAATAATTGAGTTTTATTTTTTTGTGCTCCTTGTGTGTTGGTGAAGGCCTGTTGAGGATGAATATTAACACGGTGGATTTCTCCTCTGTACTTCTAGGCTATAACCCTCTGTCTGGAGAAGGAGGCGGAACTTGTTCCTGGAGACCAGGCCGGAGAGGCCCGTCAGCAGGTGGATGAGGCTAACCTCCCTAGTGTCTCGTGTCACTAGCAGGCTTGATCTTACCCACTGTCTAACTGCCTACAGATTGCGTGTCACAGTGACTCCTTTGGGATTGGGCTTAGTGCAGGTGTTAACTTGAAAACAGACTTACACCATTTCCAAATAGTAACGCAGAAGCTGATGCTACACAAGAAAAAGACCTGATCCTCTTAGAGAGGATGAAGAAAGAAACAATTTGAGCGTAATCAGATAATTTTCACTCTTCCGTAGAGAGGAAGCATGATCTCCAGCCAAGGTGAATCACCCGGGATTGTGAGATCTGGGTTCTGTGGCTGGCTATTCAAAAGCCTGGCCTCAGGCAAATTTAATCATCTACGCTTGGTTTACCCCTGTAAAATGAGGATATTTACCATCCTCGGACATGTGTTACCAGATTTACTGTGTTTGGCTGGAAGGTACTTTAGAGGGGAGGAATATTGTCATGGTCAGATACCTTGAATTATAGGAAGAGGGACTTTTGGAAAAAAACAGAGGAACTGACAAACGCCAGGGATTTGCACCGCAGGCCAGGTATTGCAGAAGAGTCTCTGTGACAAGCTACCTTGAATGATGTTTTCCTTATAAATGGTAAACAAACCAGTGAGGATTACTGATGCTAGACAGCAGATGGGGGGTTCTTGCTATTCCTTTTTTTTTTTTTTATTTCAACTGCTTTGTAAAAACAAAATACTATTAATATTAAATATAATTGCAAACAAATCATAAATCCAGTATTTGCAATCTTGTGGTTTTCTACAGCATCTTTTTATATAGGGGGCATATGTTCTAGTGCAATAAATGTGTATAAAGCAAGATGAGAGATCAAATGAAACGATTTTCATTTGACTACCTCCATAAACAAAAGGGGTTTTTCAGCTGTTCTTTTTGTCTTTTAACAGTTTTGTTTTATTTGGGTGTTCTGTGTTCCAAATCATGACTTTAGAAGAATCACCTTCAGGTTAAGACCAAATCAAGTTTTCCCAAGTTTAAAAAGTGAAACTCCCCGTTCTCTTCCTCACCCCCAGTAAGCGATTCTGAAATCGGATAGACTGCATTACTGGTTGTTAAGCACTCCAGCTGTATTTGAACCTAAATCAAGAAAACACGTGACAAAGGGCTTTGCTCTAATAGAGCAGAGCGGGTTTCTTTCCAAATTACTGTCGACAAATATGGTTTGAGGAGGAGGGGATACACAGGCACAGTCAGCTCAAACACTGCAAGGTGTTCGAAGGGAAAAGAGAAGCCACAAACTGCTGAGGTCTGTGTGTTGTGGGCAGCAGGACTGCGCGTAGCTTTAGCAGCGCAGCATCAGGGTTGCACCTCGGGGACACGAAGAACTTACTTTGTGCTGCTTTCTGTTCTGAACGTGTCTTGGGGTGGGCACCGACAGCCCGGCTGCACGGCTGCCCCGAATAACCCCGCTAGGTGCCGAGGTGTGTTCTTACCCTGCTGCCAGCTCGTGCACTACAAAAGCTGAGGGTTGTTTGTGCTGAAAAGAGCCTCTGGCGAGCGAACGTGTAAAACTTGCAAGTGAGAGACTGGAAGGAGTAAGTATCTGAAGCGTGTGTGGTCTTCATCCTTCTGGTGTGTATCCAGCACTGTGGAGAGCAAATCAAGTTAGAGCTGGTCATCGTAAATGAGCTGTCCAACCATCCCATCCCCTTGATATGCACAAAATGCAAAAGACGAGTAAAATCCAGGCTGTCCTTGACAAAGAGTGAAATAGTTCCTGTCAGCATACAAGTGCCCTGTGTCTGATTACTGTTATTGAGCTTGTATATAGGCATTACAATATATATCAGTGTCTCATTAGCATAGCTTAGGGCTGCTTGAACGCTTCTTTCTAAATACGCTTGGAATATTTGTGTTCATCGATACGTATGAGTGCTGACTTTGAATACGCTGTTTATAGGGATACAGACACTGCTCTGTGTGTGAGGGGATCTGGGATTTTCTCTTGACTATCAGTGTAACAGCAGCCTGTTAACTAGTAAGTTTTACAGTTGCCAGCTAATGAAATGGAAAGGCGAGGAACCTTTTACTTTAGACCCATGAAGCGTGTGTTCAAGTGCGTGTAGAAGATGAAGGGAGAAGGCCATCGATGTTCCTATGGAAACTAGTTTTCATTTCCTGGCTTCTGTGCATTTTGGTATGTAAACTTGCCATTGTTGTAGCACAGACTGGTGTAACTTCAGGTTTTAATCTTTAATAAGGCAAAAAAAAAAAAAAAAGAGGTGGGGAAGGATATTTTCAAGATCTGAAGATTCTTTGTCAGTAAAGAGGACTAAGTTGTTATCCTCCTCATGCCTCTGGGGAACATTTTCCCCTTGTGTTGGGGAAATGGGCAACAGACTGAGGTGTTGTCTTCAGAAAAACAGCTGGGGGAGGTGGTTGTCTTAAAGCAAGAGAATTCCTTGTGTTGATAAAATGGTAAGGATGGGTTGGTTTAATTCAGTAAAAACATTTTAAGAAATAAATAAGCAGGTCTGAACTGAGCATGTGCTAACCTTTCTCTGTGTTTCAAGACTTGCTTCTGGCTGGGACTGGGGATACGGATTTTTGCCCAATTCTAAGATTTATTAAGACATACCCAGTGAGAATGAAGTGATTTACATATTTCTGGAAACTTTAACCTTCTCTCTCCCTTAATTTTTTATTTCAATCCTCAAGTCCCTAAGTTTTTCTGGATCAGACACTTCTAAGCTATTGAACAGGGTGGGAGGAAGAACCTCCGTTTGTAAAACCTCTTTTGGCTCACAACCTGCACAAGCAGAGGGAAGGGTTTTTCCTCTGACTTCAAATAGAAAGCTCTCCCTTGACCACAAACAATTATGGAAAGGTGGCTGCTTGTTGCTTCATAGTGTAAGAGTGAAGCGTGCAGAAGGCATTAGGTGAAAGTGAACTATTTAATGAATCTGTTGTGCCTGCTTTGATACAAATTCCCAAGAACTTGAATTATGAAAGATCATATTAAAAAGCCTTCAGGAGATTTTTTTTTTTCTCCCCACTTAACAGCAGTTATGCAAGAAGCCTCTTACTCTACTGATGCAGATGTTCTGGAAATATCTTTATCTGGAAGAAGCTAGCTAGCAAACTTAGAGTTCATACAATGCTATTAAATGGCTGTATAATGTTATTTAGCCACTGAAGAGTAATCTATTTTGGGTATTGAAAAATCCTAAGTCAAGCAAGTGTTCAGAGGCACAAAAAAATCCTGAAAATGTTAATTGCTTGAGAAATGCAGCTAAGTATTTTTCATTGCCTTTCAGATGATTTACATGCTGGAGGAATGAAGTTTTTTGTTTTCTTTAAATTGCGGATGAGGTCTAGTTTATACATAGTTCTCTTAAGTATTCATCAGGAGATACTGAACACTGGAATTAAAACTGAACAAAACCCCATGTTGTCACTCTCATAAAATTTACTTGGCTTTAGTTATGCCTTTCAAAAACATTGTGAAACGCGGGAAAGCTTGTAAGAGTGCTATTGCATTGCATACTTAGGGTTTTTTTTAAAAAATATGTTTCTTATACTGGAAATTTTTAATGATGAACAACAGAAGATGGAGTTTGGGGAGCGAGGGCAAACAGGGAATCTGTCGGCAGAGCTGTTCCCAGGTGTTCCCGAATTACCCGTGTGCTGTTCAAAGATCGATGCGAAGGCAAATGATAATTGCACCCATATCTGCAAGGAACAGCTCTGCTAGCAGAGACTGAATGCAGATGTGAAATGTTGGTACTAACAAATGTAATCTGCTGTGTTTTATACAGTTCTGTACTATTTGGACTCAAAACTCAAGGAATTAGGCTGTCCTGCTGTTGCTCAAGGCCCAGTCCAGTTTCATCCTTAGACTGTGCTGATAGTCAGCTCAGGTGTTTGGATTGGGTTGTTTTTTCTTGGGTTTTGTGTCTTTTTTTTTTTTTTCCCCTCCTGAGGAAGATGACTAAAGAGAGCGTTTGCATTCAGAGAGCTCTCTGAAGGAGGATGGCATCCAGTCTCCCGTGTGTTTCACCAGCAGCGCTACGGTTCACAGCTGCATTTAAGCCATCCTAACGCTGTCCTTACGAGGCAGTCCCCACCTCTGGCCCTTGTGTTTTCTCAAGCCTGGCTGCACATCAGGACACATCTCTACATCAGATCAGATCTGCCCTTTCAGAAGATTTTGGCCCTTCTACAGGATAAAAAGTGACACCTTTTCAGGCATCAGGTTGGGCAAGAGTGGGGCATGGCGTGTTTCTGTCCACGCTCTCGCTGAACACTGAAACTATATAATTTCCAACTGTAGAAGGAGCCGGTCTGGACTTGGATGGGCTGAAGACTTGGATTTTTTTTTTTTTTTTTGCTTTTCTTCCCCCCTTTTGGAATGAAAGCTTAACTTTTGGAACAGCTCTGCAACCACAAAGGAAAAGCGTACGGCTGCTGGCTGGGTGGTGTCCTGGCCCGGTTGCACCGTTGTAGCTGATTTTGTGTGAGCTTCCAAGTCAGCTGTTCCAAGCCTGACACAACCCTGCCCATATTCCCAGCTCCAGAGCCAGCGACTTCAAAAACTTCCATCCGTTTTTACGAAGCAACCAATGGCTGTGACGGAGTAGATCTCCTCGGCTCAGTTTTGGTGGTGAATATACACATTTTCATTGCAGATTCCTGTTGCGAGGGGCTGGCAGGTATGCAGCCGCTGCTCCGATGTCTGTATTTTTCCTGTGGTCATTTGTGTTTTGAAGTGCATACCCGCTAAAAAGCACTTTCAGCACGGAGCAAGATCTCTGCTGATAAATTAATCATTTCATTCGTCCCTCTGTGTCTACCATAGTTTACCAATCCAGATTCTTTCTGTGTGCTGCTTACCGAGCTCAGCTTCAGAGCTGGTACCGTGGGTAACATTAACAGAGGAATGGCAAGGAAAAGAACTTAGAAAATTCTATTTAAAGAGAATGGAAAGAAAATGGATATACTGACATACCTGCCCTTTCAATCTAGT